CCAACAGATGTCGCCACGCTACGCGATGCGATGCGATCTCCCTCAGGGGCTCCAACGCGCCCCATTGCACGCGAGGCGCCTCGCCCGCCACTCGCCCCCTGCCCCCTTCCCCTATCCCCTCCGTAGCACTCTCGGCCACTCGCAGTCCTGGGCGGCAGGGCAACGACTGGTACTACTGCCGTGGCTCTCGCTTAAGATCCGAGTCTCCATAACGGCGGATTTTCGACACTCAATAGATAAGTGTAATTCAGCCGCTGTCTGTAGGGGAATTCTAGCTCCTCTCCTTCCTCTCCCCTCTCTTTACATACGCATTTGTACCTAATCTTGTACACTACTCTTCCCCACATGTCGGGAGACCAGTCGGGTAATTACAGCTTATCCCATCTCAGGCAGTGTTCCGAAGGCGGAGATACCTGGAGCGGGAAAACATTCGTAAGCCAACATTGGGGTTGACGCTGGATCTCGAAGTCGTCGTTCTAGAAGGTGGAAGAACTCCGTTACCTCCCGGAATACAAAATGCACTACACTAATGGTTTCGTGACAATATCTCTTTACGCACCCGGATTCAAACAATCTTTGAAGACTGCGAACAGAGACTGTCCTTTTATTGTGAGAGGTTTTGTAAATTGAAAAATGTTAGTCCATCTTTAGGAGTAGTTTGATAACGTTTGGTAAAATGAAATTTGAAATTGTCATTTTAAAGTCACATTAAGTCCGCACTGGCTGAGAAAAATTCTAACATGTGAAAAAGTATATACTGGACTAAAGAATCGAGAAATGTGTTTACAGGCTTTAATTATCGAGAGTTACGAAAATATATTGTGTACGATTTGCTTCAGGTGGGTAGAAAAATGAAAAATTTAGTCCTAAAAGGGTTAAATCGCCCCAATTGCCCCCCGATGATTGTTAGCGATTGCAGCGAAATCTCTATAAGCTAAAGTAAGCATTACAATGCACGCCACCCCATTTACGCTATCCCTTGCCCCTTGTCTGATACGCAAATCAGTTCTACGAGAGCGAGTTCTTTCCTTGCTTGCGACATCTCTACACCGAGTGGAAATACTGCGTACCTCATTCAGCGTCATCTGTAGACGAAAATTGCTCAGCCTGAAGTAGCCGGTCAGCCGCTCATTAATTAATAGGCATACAAAAGAATTCTGACCTTTTATTGATGTATCACCATCTCTACCCCTTAAAATTCTACCTGTTTTAAATTGAGTCTTTTTAATTAACTCGAACCTGGAGTATATCCCAATTTATTTTAGTTTAGTTTTGTTTTATTTTATTATTTATTATGTATTACAAATTTCCTTGATTTAATCTCCATGAAATCATCGTAACTTTCACACATTAAATATTCGTATTTGTGAAACTTGTCTTTAAAATATTGTTGAGCAAATAAAATTACTTGGTGTACTTTGGTTGAAGACTTTTAATACAAATAGATATGTTTTAAAAGTTATCATTGTTCAGAAAGCATGCTGTCAAGTTACACCGTTGTGAATCTGTAATAGATCCTTTGACAGTCACCAAATTGGTGTTTGTAGACCAGTGCTTTATCTCTGTTGGCACTGTCAAAAGTCGTATACGACATATTTTACTAGAATAATCATCAACACGTTTGCGAATATTGATTAAGTATTGGCTAATTTTACCTTTACTAGAGAGTTGTAGTAACATAATCTTTCTAGAGTCATATATAAAGCCACGGGTATATTTCTCAGGAGAATAATTTTAATTTACATGCTCATACAGAGCAATTCAAGAGATATATTGATTTGCATACCACTTGCTACATCCTTTTCTTTCTGTTCTTCCTTTGTAACAGTTATAATTCATGATGTTAATTATTGTAATGAAATACCATAAGCCACTTGCAAGTTTGTTGACCCTCCATATCTGTAAAATCAGTTCTGGTTACTGGCATTCATTCTAAAGTTGGTATGCCCATCTGTTAAACTCCTAGGTCTATGCGGAATTTGAGTAAAAACATATTACCGAATCTCCTTCTTTTGAAATCATTTAATTTTAAGTTGCGTATTCGTATAATGCAATTAAGTAATGCAATAAAGTCTGTTAACTCCTTAGAATTTAGCGATTGTGTGTACCTTACTCAGAATCTATTCTTAATTGTTTTATTACACAAACATTTCTTTCAGGTAATTCATCATGTGGTTTATAAATATTAACGGGAAACTTTGTTTTCAGGATTGCTGTCAACCCTTCAGATCTAGCATCATGAATTTCAGAGGTAAGTGAACGTATTGTCTTTCTCATTACTTTGGTTGAATTATACTGCACTTATTCAAACCTTTTATCTTGCCGTCCTATTGATGATGAGGGTTATGTTTAACACTATTACTCGTTATTACTATCAATTTTGTCTGTGCTTGTGTGTATGGTTTATTGCAATATTTGCCAGAAGTTGAATTCGGTACATAACGATGGGCCGGTACATAACGATGTGAACAGGACTATGAACGTACTTTTCAAGAAATTGTTATAAATGTACATTTTACTATTTGATTTTAGTTTATTTATTGAATTAAGACATCTGTGCGTATGTCCTCTTGTAGTTCATTTAATTCATAATACAAATAAAATATAAATATAATACAAATTCTTTGGATTTAATATGATTGCCATGTGCTATTTCACTTATTATTGCGTGAAATGATAAGATATCTGAAGCGAAACATTATATTAATAGATTATATGATTAGGCTTTATGAACGTCAAGTAGTCTGGCGCGTAGAACATACACTATACTACTAATACTAGATTGTTCGTATAATTACATTTCCATTACGTTTGCAATACTCCCCTTTGTCAGTTTTTGCAGCAGACGATTCACAAAGCGCACTTCCATTAAGCCAGTTAATGTTAATGCAGCCAACCTTGTTAATGAAGTGCAAATGCGTTTTCACGGATAAAAGGGAGGGCGATAAATCCAACGTCGCGCGAAAACGCGGATTCGGATAACCTCCGGGCAGACTGTCATATGAAGCTTTTGAAAGTCTGTCTGAGGCGGATGAGAGGCAAGGATCGTTTGGAAGAACGTCATGTAGCGTTTCATGTAAGGCAACCAGGTAGTTTTAATGGGGCTACTTAGCTGTTCGGAAGATGCCGCGTCCTGACACAGGTGCTAACGATTCAGCTGCCATTCTGATGCCTTCCTCAGGGCGCAAAAATATTTTTTTCGCCCTGAGGAAGGTCGCAGAGTGGCTGCCGAAATGTTGGCATCTGAGCCTAGGATACGGCGTCTCCCGTACAGACAACTAGCTACTGACTCCGGGGGAAGAAGCCTACGCTTTGAAGATGTACTAATATCTCTTGTATCATTGCAACTGAACTACCATCAGTGGCTTTTAAGGAGTAGAAACGATACCAATCCGAACGTCTGCGATATTTAGATGTGCTCATTTGCCTTTGTAACTTTCTGATTAGCGGGGTTGCCCAGCTATTTGTTTATCACTGTTAACAGCTTCGCCCGTCTTACCAGCCAACCGGCTCTCTCCCTACAACACACCTCTCTATTCCTTTCACTACTCCACACCCTTCCACCCATTCCATTTTCCCCCGAAGGGGGGAGGCTAAATCATGACCCTGGAGGCGGGGACCACGAACCATCGTGTCAGGTCCCCTAGGTTCCGGCAATACTCCCGTCGTTAGCATAACGGTGATTGTAGTGAGGCGGGGGGAAATGGGGCCTCGATCCGCCAGGTCCTTAGTTCGGGTGACCCCCTGTGGGTTCTTGGCTTCGTCGTGGCAGTGGCCCGATACTCTCTGGTCGTAGAGGTGGAACTTATTCCTGGCTCATTGTGAGAGGCGCATTGATTCGACTCTGGCACGGGCCAGCCGGTAACCCAGAGCAGGCAGGGCGGCGCGACCCAAGCATTGAATTGGAAGGTTACCGAGAGGGAAAAGTGCGTTCTGACGGGACCCAAATAGCAGCCTGTCGGCGTACTTGTGCGTTGGCGGGGAGAGAGGATAGGGGATAACGTGTAAGGGCCCACCCCGGGGTGAATTCCCCCTGTAAAAGGTAAAAGACAAGTGCGAGGTAGGGGCACGACAGATCATACTTACCCCGCTAGCCTCTCCCCTCCGGCTCTCCCCCCC